GAAGGACCAGAGGAAGGGAAGGCCGCTGTGATCCAGACCAGAAATAAGGAAGACTTGGAAGTAAGGCCATGGCAGGGGCAGGCCCTGGTTTCACAGATAAAAGACCCATCCAAAATGACCTGTAGGCTCAAGCAACAGGGAAGACTGTAACTTGACCTGAGTGGCAGAGGCAGGTGGCTGCTTGTGATGAAGGTCCTGTCCCCAGGGCTGGTTTGTAAGTACAAGCATTCCTGGACAAACACATGAGATTTGTGTTTGAAAAAGCGAGTACCTAACAGTGATTTTTTTTTTCCGTAAGAAATTACTGTTCAGGAGGGGCTGGGGAATTGGGCACACTTGGGTTGTACTGCAACACCTCATCTCCTGGCTACATAGCTTCACATAATTCTATACACATACAAATGCATAGGCTGAGTGGTGAAGTTGGGCTGAGGAGAAACAGAATGAAGATTTTCAGCATTTGTCAGGGGAGGTCGTCCTTGTTGGAGACAGAGACTCCACTCCCCCAGCAGCACTAGAAGTTGATCATTCCATAGAACCTCCTCAAGGCATTCTTCCTCTGGAAAGCGCCAGCTTCTCTCAATAGATCTCTAAACCACAGAAGTCAGCTTTACAGTGTCCATGAACACAGACAGCACACGGGCCCGGCGTGCGCGATGGTGAGGTCCTGCAGCTGCCGTCACTGTTCTCCGGGGTCCAGCTGTCCCACTGCCGTGTCTGACGCCTCTGTGACGATGGCTGGAGCTGGTGGCTCCCCGTGGCTCCCCCTGGCTCTGACTGTTCCAAACAGTGATGCTCATATAGCAAGAAAGCTCTCCGAAGAAAGGACACAGTATTCCAGACTGTAGTGAATTGACAGCCCCCTTGTAGGCTGGGCATCATATTAGGAGGATGGAATATTCTGTTAGAGTGAGTGTTAAATAGGAAATAAAAACAACTGGTGTTTATTGTGCCCCTGAGGCCCAGCACCCTTGTAAAGGATGAAGGACATCTCCATTTCTTTAAAAAATGGACCCTAAATCAGTCTGCCTCATGAGGCTATCCCAGGATTGCGTACGGAGCAGTCCGAATGCTCTGAGAACAAACTGCCATACAAATAGCTCAGGGCGTAACGGTCACCACTTTCATTGCAGGGTTTTGTCCACAGCTGGGAAGTATCTCTCTGACTCCTACAGCCCTCGGAGCCTGACTGGTTTTCAGGATAGCATCTTGACAGATAAGAAGAGCTCTGCCAAGAACCCATGGCAAGAATACAATTACCTCCAGAAAGATAACCCTGCCGAATACGGCAGTTTAATGGAAATACTTTATACCCTCAAGGTATGAGACCAGACTGATGGCATTCTTGCAAATGAAAGCTTTTCCCTTGTCGCTCACCCTTTCCCTGACCCAGGCTTTCCCTGATCCTGTCCCTGCATGTGGGGCTTGGGCTGTGGTGTGCCCTGCGCCACATCTCTGTCTCATTTACGTTCGGGTTTTAAGATGGTAATCAACTAAACTGGGTGGGACCAGTTGAAATACAGCTGTAGGAGTTGGGGAAGTGGAGCTTTATTGCCGACAGAAGGTGAGTTAGAGCACGTGGCTCTAGACCTGAAGCCAAGCGAGCTTGCTGTTCTTCCCTCTGGAGGTCGACCCGTCGGCAGGACGGGCGGAGCTGGATGGCCCCTGGCCCCATGCAGGGACAGTCCCCTGTACGGAGTGACAGAGATGGGGGCCAGAACGTGTACTGCCTGCTGGTGGGCAGAACCTGGAAAGGTAGGGTCCAGCCCAGCAGCCAGAGACGTCATTTCTCTTCCCCAGTGGAGGAGTGAGGTTGGAGAGAAGCTGGGAGTGCCCGTCTAGTGCAAGTGCCTCCACATGGCAATCCTCCTGGCTGTTCCTTTAGTTTAAACTCTTGTTTGTCTACTCTAAAGCTACTCTTGATGTTGAGCTTTGGGCCCCCTGGGGTCCAGGGACAGGAGAACCTCCCCAAAAATGGGATGAGCCACATACTCCCTGGGAATGGCCCCAGAGTTCCTCGAGGGCCACGGCATCCTTTCTAGAACCACCTTACCTCTCCCCTGCCCTCTGGGTTTGATTTGAATGTCAGCCTCTTGGTGATGAGCAGAGTATATACTGTTGGCCCCATAGCATGAAATCCAATCTGAAATTCTCCCCGTGGGCCTCTAGCTCTGGAGGTGATTGCACAGGGTGCCTCAGGATGTCTGAGGCCTCAGCATCGCCCTTGCAGGGCCTCCCCCCACCCTCTACACCGTGACCCACCAACAGGCTGCATTTGAACTTGACAAACACTTCTTGAAGCCATTCTGCAAGTTCATTCATCCATGCTTCTGTGATTAGGTTAAAGCAACACTGTTTATCTTTATTGCTGATCTGATTTATGTCTGTTTGTTGTAATCGGTTCATTTATAATAGCAAAACTAAGGCTGCGTTTTCCACCCCTGTATTTTCTCAGGCTCTTTGGAGTACCCTGGGACTCACCCAGGTTATGCAGACTCTGGTGTCCAGCCGAGTGTAATTGACCTGACCTTGCTGGGAATCGGGGCTCTGTCCATCGCTCTTGTTTATATATAACAGGACACTTCTGATCATTTTTCCCTTCCTCCTCTATCCCTGAGGGACAGTCACAGGTTAATTTTTCCTAAACTGCCAATCCATGAGCTTGTGTTAGCTTCAATGCATCTGAGTCACCCGGGAAAGTGAATTAAAAATACAGGTTCCCAGGCTCCAGAAGCCTGCTGGATTCAGATTCTCCAGCTGTGGTGGAGCCTGGGTATCCGTAACTCAAGTGTTTCCCAGGGGCTCCTGGCGCAGCCAGGTTTGGACACACTGTTGCAGGGCACCCTCTTTCTGTTTTCCTCTCAGTGGCTTTTCAAAATGTTTAGCTGTTTAGCTAATACCTTGGTTGGATTCAGGGCCTAACAACTTGCCTTCCGGGTTTTCTTGTCTCAGGAAAAAGGATCAAGTAACCACAACCTGCTCTCGGCATCTCGAGCGGCCCTGACTCGCCTTAACCAGCAGGCCCACCAACTGGCTTTCGATTCGGTTTTCCTGCGCATCAAACAGCAGCTGCTCCTTATTTCCAAGATGGATGTGAGTGTCTCAGCGACTGCATCGGAGAACGCACTCCCCGCCGCTGCCCGCTCCCCTTCTGCCCTGGGCTCAGCACCCTCTTCCCTGAGCTTTGGGAGGCGCCCCCTCTGACTCTCCTAGGCTGGAAGTCCCGCTGTACAGGGTCACTGTTCCCATGCAACTCATTGCTCAGCAAGAATGTCTTAGCTGTCGTTGCTGCGATGCTTCATTTTCAGGCTATTTGCGGATTAGGGATTATTACTGTCGCTTGATTAACCTTCACCATCTGGAGCAGCGTCGCTGTGTCCTCGCAGGGAGAAGTCAGGGAGATTACGTGCCGCTGGATCGGCCGGCGCAGGTCAGGCTGGACTGTTTTCACGCCACAGACTTTTGTACAGACTTGGTTGCGGAGCTGTACTCAGGACAGCGCCTCGCAGCTTTGATCTGATGGTTCTGAGCGGCGTGGGGGGCTCTGCTCTTCTCTGTCCTGGGTACCTTTTTTAAGTGGCTGTTCTTGGAACTTCTCACTTTCCTTGCCTTGCCACCCTCTTCCGTTTTCTGGTTGTCCTGATTCCTTTTCAAGGAACTGCCTGTCAGTCATTTTTTTTCTCTGCTGGCTCTGACTTCCCCAGGTTCAGATCTCAGCTTTCGTTTGGGATTTCTGAAACAGTTCCCTGCCTGGTTAACCTTTCTCGCTGACTCCTCAAGTCTATCTAGATTCGGCTTAGTCTTTTGGGAAAGATCCAGTTATGGGCCTTTACTAACCAGGAGATCCTTTCAGGAAGTCCTTTGCTTCCTGCTGCCCTCTGGGAAGCATACTCGGCGGGGAGCCCCGGGCCACTCACTTATGCACTGTATGATCTGGTCAAGCCTCATGCAAAATGCCATGACATCTACTCCAACCAGATTTTGCATTTCCAGCATGGGCAGGTCGGAGGCGTGTGTGAGGTGGTGGGGTGGTGGCCACCGCTGTCACAGCGGAGCGGACGTGATGCCGATGACCAGTAGCTCCCCCTGGGCACCACGCGTACGTGGTCTCGTTGGGTCACGTGGCTGAGGCTGTTACTTCTTCTGTGAGCCTCAGCTCCTCCTCTTTAAAATGGGGATAGAGTAATTTTCACCATACACACAAGTGAGGATTAAGTGAGAATTTGTATACGATAGAATTTAGCACAACAGCTGTCACGGAGTAGATGCTTACCCAGTGGCAGTTCTCTTCCTTTTGGTGATTCTCATTTTTTTTTAAGTTATGACAATTTTTAAAAATAAAAATTACATATATTCATTCTGAGAAATTCAAGCAATACAGAAAAGCACAAAGAAAACAAAAGGCAGTAAAATCCTTCAATATCCCACCACCTGGAAATCATTAGGCCGGACATCTCCTCCTGCCCGCTGACACGCTGAAGGCTGGGCCGGCGTCAGTAGACAGATCCGTAGGAAGAAATGGAACTGTACCCACGTGCTGTTTTTTTAAAAAAAACAGAATGCATACTGTATAAATTTTATTTGAATTTAACTAGAAAAAGAAGATAAGTTAAATGAAACCAAAGGATTGGTTGAACTTGAGAGAATAGTTTCTTCACCACAGAAGATTCTAGTTCCCAGAAGATCTCTCCAAGGTTAAGAAAAAAAGATTGTGAGAACTACTGGTAGATTGGAGTCATTTTTTTTTAATGTTTCATTTTGTCTTATTTATTTTATTTTTAGGGGAGGGCGAGGGAGGTAATTAGGTTTGTTTATTTATTTATTTTTGGAGGAGGTACTGGGGATTGAACCTGGGACCTCATGCACACTAAGCATGTGCGCTACCCACTTGAGCTACATCTTTCCCCCTTGGAGTCGTTATCTTTTGTTAAGCACATTTCCGTTTAAGACAGAACTGCTCTGCCTGCCCTGAAAGCTGGTGGGATTAGCATTCCTTACATCTCTCATCTCCCTTCCCCAACCTCTAGATTTGGTTGCTTTTATTATTTGTATCTTGTCAGAGGTTAAAATCTTGACCTTCTGTTCTGAAACCTTAATTCTCCCAGTTATTTGGTCTCAGTTTTCCACTGAGACGGGGGTGGTGCTTCCCACCTGTCCTCTCCCCTCTGCTTCTGAATTCCACGCTCGCTGTTAGGCCAGGTCCTGGGTTGCTTGCATCTCGCCTTCTCCTGCAGGCCTCACTGCAGCAGCTCTGGAGGGTGGGCGGTGGGAATGGACGCAGGCAGCTTGGAGATTAGGAGGAGTTCCCCAGAACGCACACAATACAAAGGCAAACACTTTGGCCTTACGATTTTGAAAATTAAACCCTGGTCATTAAATGTTTGTTTTTAATGTTGGCTGGTAAATCGTATTGCCCTTTTTACATAACAAGAATATAAACCAACAGTCTATTCCCTTTCTGAATAGCTTATTAAAGTTTACCTACATTATCTGGTGACAGATGGATAGAAAAGCCCCTTTGAAGGAATTTTTAAATACATTTTGAACCACTGAAAAATAATCTAGGCCATTTCCCTGTTGACCTCTTCAGGTCCACCCTCTCTTCCTGCTTTGTAAGGCCCTCCCTCACCAGCCCACTCTGTCGCGCCCTTACTCCAAAGTACTTTTCCACTCTGGCCCTTCTTGCCCTCTGCCGTCTGCCTGCCTGATCGCCTCCAGCGTTGCTCCTCCCGCCTCCCCTGTGAAGCTTCTCCTGGGCCCCCAGCCCCCAGGGCTTGTCCTTTAGGTGCACTCGGTGATGCTGGCCTTCCCCACGATTCAGCCCTTGCCCCTGTCCTCCCTGGTGTGGCTCCCGGCCTCCCCTTTCTCTGCCTCTCTGGCCTGTACCACCTCTGCTCCATCGTTGGGCCCCTCTTTGCCGAGACTTTACCTCTTGATTGTATTGTTCCTTCTTTTTAAATCTGTCTCCATCTCCTTCCATGGCCACTGCCCTAATTTGAGTCCTCATCATCTCTGAATTGCTTCGTGAGCTTTCTGCCTGCCCCCTCACCCACAATCCTCGTCAGAGTAGCTGCATGAATCTTCATAAAGCATCACTCTGATTTTGTCTCTCCCCATTCAAGCCTCTTACCTGGCTCCCCACAGTTGGTATGATGGTCTATTTTGGGAGGAGGGGGAGGTAATTAGATTTATTTATTTATTATTATTTATCTATTTATTTATTTTGAATGGAGGTACTGGGGCTGCATGCGCTCTACCACTGAGCTGTACCCTCCCCCCTGTGATGGTCTACTTTTAAAAATTTGATTATGAAGTTTTCATACATATGCAGGAGTACAGGGCAGAGTATAATAAACCGCATGTCCTCATCAGCCTGCTTTGATGATGATCCACTCTTGGCTGTCGTATTTCGTGTATATCCCCTATCTAAAGTAAGAACTCTTAAAAAAATAGAATCACAATATCATAATTACTCCTAAAAAATAAAATTAAAAATAATTCCTTAGTATCATTAATCAGTGTTCAAATTTCTAATTGACTTATAAATGTCATGATTTAACTGTTGGAATCAGGATCCAGATTAGCTCTGCACATTGGGATTCGTTGATAATGCCTTTTATATCTCTTTTGAACTACAGATTACCTTTCCATCTCTCTCTCTCTCTCTTTCTCTCTCTCCTTTTCCCTTGCAATTTGTTTGTTGAAGGTAGAGCCTTGTCTTCCCAGCCTACCCTCTCTGCACCTCATGCATCCTGTGGCTGGTCCCTTCTCTGACCACCTTGAGCCCTCACTCCTCTGAACTCTGATTGTGTGAAATCTTACATCTGCCACTGAGAACTGTCGAAGAGGAAGCCTCTGTGTGTATGTGTGTGTGTAGATGTAGCGGGTATAGGGTGAGAGTGTGTCAGAGGGTCTTGGTGTCCCAAGGAGAGCAGGAACCAAGACATCCGTTTCATTGTCTCCTCTCGACAAAGCCTGGCATGCAGTGCTCAGTGCATGTGGATGATTGGAGTGACCCATCCCTGCGGGGTGGGAGTTAAAAAAAAGTAGGATATTTTGAAGGGAAAGAGGATTCATTCTCAAAAAAGAACAAGGAGTTTAAGAAACTGTAGGAGCAGGGATGGGGAAGAAAGGAACTTGTCTAGAGCAGGAAAGTTAGAATCGAATTGGTGCTGGAGAGCAGGGGGAGGACGGCAGAGGCTTGGCCTGGGCCGGGAGCCCAGGGGTGGACGTGATCATGACATTCCCGGAAAGCTACTTAAAGGATCAAGCAACCAGATCAGGCATCAGGTGGCTGCAGAGAGCAGCTACAACGTGACCTCAGGAGTCACTCCAGGAGTCCAGCCAGAAAGGGCCTTGTTTTCCAGGCTGGCTTTAGGGTGACTCAGGTAAGTATTAAGAAACTAGATTTTCTGTGTAAAGGTGTGCCAGGCTGAACTCTGCAACCACGTGCTTGCTGGTAATTGGTCTAACTCTGTCGAGGAGGCTGGGAAGGCTCCCACAGTGATAGCACAGGTCCGCCTTCCATGACGAAGGAAGATACGTCGGTGCCGCAGGTCTCCAGACGGGGCTCCTGCAGGGGACAGAGGGCTGCCGGCGGGGCTTGAGGCTCCTCCTCACCCCTTCCCTTTGAGTTCTGAATCAGTTGAGAGGTAGACCCAGAAAGCAGGTGGGATAAAAGCAGCAGCTTAAACTTAGTAAAATAGTATTGGCGAATGCGGTTTGGACATTCCCACAACCAGACAGGGCTTCCCAACCTCTGTCCCAAGATGCGGGATTCACAGATGGTCTCTGTGGAGGGTTCTGGGGAGTCCTCGTCCCTGCAGAGTGCCAGCTGATGACCCAGAATTAGTGAGGCTCCCTGTGCCCAGAGGCTTTTGACCTGTTGCCCCTACCTAGTGGAGAAACTCAGACCAAAAAACATCCGACTCTTGGGTTCAATCCCCAGTACCTCCATTAAAAAAAAAGAATACCCAGTTCCTCCTTTCACATACTGGGGGAGGTAAGCAGAAGGGATCTGTTCCCATCAAAAAGCTGAGTTGAGGAGGTGGGGGTTCCTCTTTTATGGATCTACAGGGGTGCAGAGAGAAAGGAATGACTTAGAGAAGAGAAATCCCTGGTCTGCCATGTGGTTGTGATCCTAAATCCCAGCTCTGAGCAGACAATGTCTATGGGGGATGCTGTGTCCTTCCTGTATTTTCCAGCACCTGGTGCCTTCCCGCGCGGCCCAGTTGCTATGACATTGATTGCTTCCTCCCCTTCCTCCCCTAGAGCTGGAGCACAGCTGGCATTGGAGAGACCTTGACCGATGACCTGCCCACCTTCAGTCTCACCCCTCTGGAGTACATCAGCAACGTAAGAGCCTCTGTGCGTCGGTCTCCACGCTGGTCTCAGCGTTGCAGCCCTCGCCTTGTCTTTTGATTCTGGCCCTTCTGGTTTAAACAGTCCTTACCGCACCGCATCTGTGCTGTCTGCGCCTTTGCTTTTGGATAGTCTCCATCCATATCCAGGACTTTGAGGAAATGCAGCTGATTTCCTTAAACCTGCTGGTGAAACACATGCTGGTTTCAGAACCTAACACATTCCTGCCCCTCCTCCGTCCCTCTCAATATGAGGTGTGGCCAGAGCCTAAGGGCATCAGGGTGTGAATCCAGTAGGAGATTCCGATTTGGGAAGACAGGAAGCAGGTGGCTGTGTTTGGATTCTTTGTAACTTTTCAGAAGAACATGGTGTCTTTAGTTCTGAATTCCAATTCAGAAAACTTGTAGTGAGCAGCTACCGTGTGCCCAGCCCAGGCTGAGAGCTCTCATGTTCAGTTCCACAGCAGCAAATTAATCTCTTAACAAGAATTATGGTTCTAGAGACTTAATACTAACAAAGAACAGAATAAGCCCTACAGGGGAGCAGGGGCACTTGGAATCCTTTCCTGCTTCACCTTGCACCCCTGGGAGTCCATGGTCACCCAAGACGTCTGTGCATGGCCTTCCCTTTTTGTAATTTTAACTTTAATTTTTATTTGAATTTTTTTAAACTTTTTTTATTGAGTTATAGTCATTTTACAATGTTGTGTCAAATTCCACTGTAGAGCACAATTTTTCAGTTATACACGAACATACATATATTCATTGTCACATACTCTTTTCTCTGTGAGCTACCACAAGATCTTGTATATATTTCCCTGTGCTATACAGTATAATGTTGTTTATCTATTCTACATTTTGAACTCCCAGTCTGTCCCCTCCCACCCCCCGCCCCCATGGCCTTCCCTTTCACTCTTTCCTGCAGTCCAGCTCCTTGCGCTTAAGTGTCAGTGTGCATAAAAAATACAGTGTAGAGGTAATATACCTGCACCATGGATTCCGCACACTGGGGAAGATTTCTGGGATTTTCAAGGGTAATTTTGAGATAGGTGATTTCTACCTTAAGCTCTCACTTTAGAACTCACCCCCATGCAAGTTTTGACCACTGAAATAGATGCAAAGGAATTTTAAAAGTAAATATTATACAGTTAGAAGCAGCGCGTGGTGAGCCCGCTGGCGGGCAGCAGTGGGGACGGCAGACCACTCCGTCCCTGTTCACTGGGAGCAGCGTCCAGTCCCAGGTGGCAGCTGCTTTCCTGCTGTTTTCCAGGGCGTTCGTTACCCAGTATCCTGGACTGAGGGGACTGAAAATGTGGGTTCGTCTTCACAACCAATGGGAATAATATCATTTTTAGAGTTGAGACAGTGTGCATTGTAATCTAAACTGATTCCAGCAATGATGTTGCTAGAAAGGTTTTGAGAGGTTCTCAAGTTGATTTTAAAGTTGAGGAAACCGAGATGTAGAGGAGTGAGGAAGGCAAGGATGAGTTTCTAGGTCAGGGCCCTCTCCGACCTACTGTGACTCATCAGCCCCCAGGTAGCTACTGTACCTGATGGCCTGAACTCAGGAAGTGAACGTTTATTGAACACTGCATGCAAGGACAGTGCTGGGCTCTTATCGGTGCCTTGAGATAGTGCACAGTCTAGATAGAATTTTATCTCAACAACAACCCTGTGAGCCAGTTGTGGGCAGCCGTGTTTCACAGGCAAGAGCACCATGCTCTGGGGGATGGGAGTGGGGCAGGGAAGCCCTTTATCCAGCGGCTGCTCTGTTTGGATGCCAGGTGCTTTCTGTGTGTCGCACACAATATTAATTTCATCCTCACCACAGCCCTTTGAAGTAAGCATGAGATCATGCTCATTTCAGAGGTGATGAAACAAGGCCCCGACACATGAAGTTAAGTTGTCCAGCGTCACACGGTGGTAGAGCCAGAACGCAAGCCCAGGTCCTCCTGACCGCAAAGCTTTTTGTTTCTCCTGAGTCACTGCGCTTACCCAAACAGGACCTCAAGGGGTATTTGTTGGATATTTGGGGACAGTGGACGACATCTGCAGGTATGATGGTGGGCATCCCTTCCCACATTGATTTCCGAGAAGTAAATATAGACAGAACTCCTGAGAGAAACCTGGCGTCGTGGAATCTCTAGGAACCATGCAGTCCCCACAATCTTAAGGCCAATTAATTGAAGTTTGAGATGTCAGATTATTGAAATTTTGCACCTAATTGACATTTTGCCTTGCTGGTGAATGCCCTCACTTACCCCAAACTGCGTGAACAGTATAAAGGGATGAAATAGGAGAAAATGTTTTGAAAGGAAGTAACATAGATGTAAGGCATGATGGTGATGATTCTCTGTTTCAAGTAAAACTTGAAACAGCTCTGTGGACTTAGCCAGGCGGTTTTGACTATAGATGAAATAGGTACCGAACATAGGAATGTGCCTGTGGTCTCTGCACATAGTAGGTATTCAGGAAGTGCTTACTGAATGGAATTAGAATGGAGCCATTCTAACCCCAGAAGTCAGCATCCTTCTCCTTTTCCAGTCTGGGAAAAAAAGGATGAATTTGTTGCCATTTCAAGCTGACATGTACAGCGGTTGTGAGGTTATTATTAGTGAGGTTAAGTGACCACTTGTCTAGTTTGAATGAAAGATTATGCTAAGTAAATGAAAGGGAAAAGTCCTGATTTAATTTAAATCAGCCTCTTTAAAAGGAGACCAAACTAACAATTTTCGTTAGCATGATGGACTACATTAAATGTTTAGAAATGAGGGTGTAATCATCCTGTAGTCCTCTGGGCTGGTAGATTTTGGGGAGTCTGCCTTAACTTCTGGACACCACACTCTAAGAGGGACCTGCCACTGTGGAGATGTGTAGACCAAAAGATCTCACTCTGATAGTCCTCGGACTTTTAGCTTACCAAACCAGCGTCGATTCTAAGTTGGAATGAATGTGTGGAATCAATATGGAAGCAAAAAAAAAAGCAGTATCAGGCTCCAGTACCTTTTTTTAAAAGTATGTATTGCATTGTTGTAACCTGGAGATCAACCTTATTTTGAAACAAAACATGTACTTTCCAAAGTGGGCATAGAGGGAACATACCTCAACATAATAAAGGCCATATATGACAAACCCACAGCTAACGTTGTACTTAATGAAAAGCTGAAAGCATTTCCTCTAAGATCAGGAACAAGACAAGGAAGCCCACTTTCATCACTTTTATTCAACATAGTTTTGGCAATCGTAGCCACAGCAATCAGAGAAGAAAAAGAAATAAACAGAATTCAAGTCAGAAAAGAAGAAGTAAAACTGTCACTGTTCGTGGATGACATGATACTATACATAGAAAACGCTAAAGAAGCGACCAGAAAACTACTAGAACTCATCAATGAATTTGGTAAAGTTGCAGGATACAAAATTAACACACAGAAGTCAGTTGCATTTGTGTACACTAACAACAAAATAGCAGAAAAAGAAATGAAGGAAACAGTCCCATTTACCATCACACCTAAAAGAATAAAATACCTAGGAATAAACCTACCCAAGGAGGCAAAGGACTTGTACTCCGAAAACTAAGAGACACTGGCTTTTTTCCAACAAAATTCCTCCCTCCTTCTGGTTAAATCACCTAGAAGGGAGAGACCCAGATCTAGATCCAGAAGACAGGGTTGAAATTCTTGCGCAACCACACACTTGTTGACATTAGCATCTTATTGGTTTTTCATCTATGAACAGTAATAATAACTTGTGTTTACACAAGTGCTTTAAATTTTACAAAACCTTCAGTGTCCATTACTCATTTGAGGTAGAGCTTGCATTGAATGCATTCCAAAAATATTGAGGCCATTAGTGAGAAGGATGAATCTATGATCTACATGCAAACTACTGTTGGTTGCTGTAGATGTTGCCTAAACCAATATTACCACACTTCGGAAAGATCAGACCTGGGGCTGCCTCAAGACTAGCAGTTCTGTCTGTCTGCCATTTGCCTTCTGATGTATGTACCGTACGACATAATTACTGCATCAACGCTGGGCTGAAAGTGCTTTCTTTCGTTTCAGATCGGGCAATATATCATGTCCCTCCCCCTGAACCTTGAGCCGTTCGTGACTCAGGAGGACTCTGCCTTGGAGCTGGCGTTGCATGCTGGGAAGCTGCCATTTCCTCCGGAGCAAGGTGGGAGAGACCCGCAGGAAAGGGTGGTGGGCTCAGATGTGATTACATGCTCGCCGTAGCGCCTTAACCCCATCACATACATCCTCCACACTCCCACCGAAATCATTGTCAAAGTGCAAAATAGTGGCTAGGAAAGACTGGGGTCCTCTCTAAGTGCACCCTCTGAGGAGCTTCTGCAGGCCAGAGTGGGTTAGGGGAGGAGCCGTCTTGACTTTGTCTCACCGTATGCGGAGCATCCCTGGGGTGGAGAGCAGAGGGGCACTCCACCAGTGCCCCTCAGCTGGGAGGTGGTGGCAGGCGGGCCCAGGGTCATAGGCACTTACTGGTGGCAGAGTGACCTCACAGGGCAAGGGTGCCACCTGACTCTGTCTCTGCTCCCTCTCTGTGTGGCCTACATGCCAAGAAAAGTGGCACCTCATAGGAACAGTTTTTCTCGTTAGGACAAAAATAAACTCTTCAGCATAGAGGTTAGCTTTTCCTGTCCAGATGCCTCTGGCTGTAGTGTGCTCCCAACTCCCCAAGGCTCTTGGGTCTCTAAACTGATAAGATAAAAGTACAGTAAATTAAAATCTTTCTTTTTTCTCATTATCTGGGCCTGACAGATTTGAAGAGGGACCGCATACTCTCTGATCAAAAATCATCTTTTTCCTTATAGTGAGCATTATAGGCCTCCCTCTGTAAGGGTGAACAAACAAACAAAATAATCACTTGGTAATATAAAAGATCCAGCAGCTCAAGAGGAGGTACCACAACGGAAAATAAAATCACATCGAAAGGTTAAAAATAAAGGATCGTGAAAAGGCATCGCATGTAAATGCAAATAATAAATCAAGATCACTTCATCACTATTAGATGAAGTTGAATCAAACCAAAAGATAATAAATGGGACTAAGTTGTTCTTTGTATTGATAACAGGTGGATTCCACTGTGAACCTATAATAGTCAGGTACCTTTATGTGTCAAATAACACAGCACTGAAATACAGAAAGAAGAAGCTGTCAGACATTAATGACAAAACCACGTACTGAAAAAACCACTTGTACTGAAAAAACCACTTGTTCCTCTCCTTTAGGCTTTGACAGATTGAAATGGGAAATTAATGAGGAATTATTCAGTATAATCATACTTGATGGAATCAGTATACCAAGCTTTTTATCCCACAGAGAATAGGCATTGTTGTCAAATTTCTATAAATTGTTTACAAAAATAACACAAGTAAAATCTCCATGAGTTTCACAGGGTTACAAATATTAAGGTTACTCACATATAATGCTTGAGACAAAGAATAATTCTATTTAAAATTCAAATTTAAAATATGAAACCTGTTAAGCTAAACTATGAGTGAATATTAATTCATCTTAGAGGTAGGGAAGGGAAGATTTTAAGACTTTAAGACTTTGCAATAAAAGACAGAAGCTGTAAAGGAAATTGAAAGATAAATGATAAACTGGAAAAAATAGCGATATCCATGGTAGATAATGGTTAATGTCCCGATTTTTTTGAGTCCTTACGAATCAGTAGGAAGATGATGAACGCCCACAGGAAATAAGCAAACAGCACGCAGGCATTCCAGTGAACTAAAACATACAGAGAAATGTTTAATTTTGATAATCCTCTAAGAGCTGCAAGTGAAAGTAGGTTATATCATTTTATAACCTATCAAATTGACATATATATATATATATGTATACACATATGTATTTCTAAGTGTTTATGCTTCGTGTGGGCGATGTGGAGGAAACCAGTTTACATTATATGCAGTTTAAATTACTGGACGACTGTTTGACATAAAATCAAAAGCCTTGGAGATGTATAGAGCTTTTAGATCAGATCTGTTAAAATTTTTAAAAATGTCTTAATTTAAAAAAAATTTTGAAAAACCAGATCACGTCACCCTGGTATTGCCGGTTTCCCACGTGCCTTCGGGCTCCTCTCGAAGCAGATGGTGCTTTTACCAGTAACTTCATGTTCTGTGTTGTCAGTGGTAGTAGTGGTCATGGTGGTAGCGTTTTGCTTATTTTCTTCTAAATGTGTGATTGTTCTCTGCATGGCCCCATAATTTTTTTTGAATGTTGCTCTCATTTCTCCCCTTCTTTCCACTTCTGCTGTCGGGTGTGCTCCTTCCTCTCGGGGGCCAGGCCCGTCTCTCTCTAGCCTGGACGGCTGCTCCGCCGCCCTCCTTCACCCCCTCTCAGCCTGGCGGGCCCTCCCCGCACCGGCTCGTCTTGTCACAGCCTTGCTGGGAACCTGCAGGGGTTGCCTGTTTCCTACTATGCAGGCTGCACGTGGTTCTCAGGCTGCCCTCTGTGACCCGGCCCTGACACGTCCCCAGTGCTCCCAGTGCCCACTTCTCCCCGCCCCTGTAATCCTTGTAACACACACACAGCTGCCGTGCACATAGCACTGAGTGTGTGGCAGCCCCATGCCCCGGGCCCCGTGTCGTCTCCGCAGCAGCCCTGAAAGCCAGGCCATCTTACTGATGAAGAAGACAGTCTCTGAGAGGTCAGGCAGCACCCAGCTCCTTGGTCGGGTTGGTCTTGAACCTGACATGCTGCCTGCGTGCTGACCATTGCCGCCTGCCTCCCGCGGGCTGTGCCAGCTCTCCTGCCTCCTTCCTTTGGGTGTGGGGCTCCCCCTCCCTCTTACTGCCTGTAGAGCTCCTGCTGGCCTGCATGGCCACACTCAGTCCCCAGCCTTCAAGACCTCTGAGGTTGCCCCATCACCCAGAGTGCCCTGTAAAAGCTGTTGGTGGCAGGGTTTTCCTGACCAGGTTCTGTTTCTTCGGTGACTTCTTTCCCCCTCCAGGGGATGAACTGCCCGAGTTGGACAACATGGCAGACAACTGGCTGGGCTCGATTGCCAGAGCCACGATGCAGACCTACTGCGACGCCATCCTGCAGATCCCCGGGCTCACCCCGCACTCCACCAAGCAGCTGGCCACTGACATCGGTGGGTCCCCGGGCGGGCGGTGGGAGGGACAGTTGGATCTGTCAGTCCCTCTACCCTCCAGGAAGGTCTTCAGCTCTGGGTTTGTCTATGAAGCTTTGTTAAAAATGCAGATTGTCTAGGCCCTGCCCCTAGAGATTCTGTCAAAGTCAATCTGGATTGAAGCCCAAGGGATTCTGACAGTTGCCGAGGCTGAGAACCATTAAGGGGAGAACCATTAAGGGAAGCTGAGATGGGTTGGGATGAGTGGGGCAGACTCGTGTGATGCTGCCTTCCCGCACCTTGCCCACTGCTTGTTAATACAGTCGTCATCCAAATCGACGTTAAGCTCTCACTACGCGCCGGGCGTGCCAGGCGCTGAGCCAAGCGCTCACACCCACTGTCTTATGCAGTCCTCAAAACTTCCCTGTGAGGTTGGCGCTCCTGCCTTCATCATACTGATAAGGAAACGGGGGCTCAGGGCAGTTGCATCATGAGGTCACCTAGGTAGGGTGGTCCTGTGGTCTTCATCAGAATACCTGCCTGTCTCCCAGCTGATGTCAGGGGATGCGTGCCCACCTGCCCCCGACCTGCTCCCGCTGGCACACATCCCTGGAGGCAGTGCTGCCGGCGGGGGGGTGCTCTGAGGTGGGGGTTACTGCAGGCAGGTGGTAGGGGAGTCTCCCCGGCCTCTTGGTATCATTCCACTGACTTGCCTGTTCTTGGAGCCTTCAAGGGTGAGGGTGGTGGGAGCCTCAAAGATCAGCTCCTGGGGACCCAGCCAGAGCTTTGGCCTGCGTGACCTCAGGGCCACGCCAGCCTCTTGTTTTGCCAGAGAAGAAATAGCAGTGAGGGAGGGAGCCGGGCCTGCAACCCAGCTGCGCTGACTCCCTGCGCTGCGCTCATCCCGGGTCAGCTCTCAGCAGTCGCAGGGCGACAGCCGGCTTTTCGTCACCTTGCTGGGCACGTGTTCAGGGAGGAGATGAAGAGGTTCGAGTGCTCGCTCGTGCTCCCTGTTGGCAGAGGTGGAGCACTGAGGAGAGAACCAGCTGCGGCTAGTTCAGTTTGTCCGCATCATGTCTCCCAGCCTGTTAGGCTCCCCCTCCGGATCTGCAGTGGCTTAGCTGTGAGGAGTGCGGTTAGGGGCCAGGAAGCTGCCAGGTGTGACACGATAGACAGCGGTGAGGCCTGTGGCAGTGCGTGGCCACCTTAAAGACGTTCGAATTGAGCACTAAAAAGAAACAAACCCCAAACCCCCTTGCTGGCTAAACAAGATACCACAGTAGATCCTGGGCTGCCGCTTCTCAGGTCCTGGCTTACAGCCAAGCGCAGCTGACAGTTTTATGGATGAACGTGTGCAGGAGGCAGGTGCCTGACTGGCGGTGCCCTCCCTGGTGGGGGATGGGATGTGAGCCAGCCAGGGCAGAGCAGGCACCTCCTGTGGGCTCTGCTCTGAGCCCGGCCTCAAAAAGAGGACATGGGGAAGACAGAGCCTGCCCGGAGTCAGGGAGAGAGACGAATGCGGGCGGGTGGCGATCAGAAAGTAAGGAGAGACCAGAGGGAAGAGGGAGGAGCCGGAGGAGGCTGCCATGCCTCCCTCGCCCAGGCCCAAGCCTCCCTGGAAGGAAGAAGGAAAGGAACACCCATTTATTGACCCCTATGTCATGTCAGGTGCTTTCATGGTCTTTATCCCACTTCATCCTCTTAACAGTGCTGCCTGACAGGTGTTAGCCACGTCCGCAGGTGGAAGGATTCACCGAGGTCACCCCAGCCTTGGTCTTCTCCTCCACTTGGCCGGTGCCGCCCAAGCTTGCCCGGTGTTTAGAATGGTGGGGCTGCTTTTCGGAAGGACAGGATTCTTCGACCCTCTCTTGGAGATGCTCATTGACGTGGCCTGGGCTCAGGAATCTGGCTCTACCTTGTACCCCAAGGACTTATCTGGGAGATGTGGGCACTGTCCTTGCCTCCACTGTAGGGCTCCACTGCGAAGTCTTCAGTGCGCGTGTTCCTGACCCCTTGGGTTTTCCACGTGGTCCGTGGGGTCGTCTAGGGAGCAGGGCTGGGAACCCAGGAGACCCCAGTGTAGAGCTTCTGGTGAAGTCAGCTGGTCGTGCTGGAGAGCTGAGTGTGTGGTGGGGGTGGGGATGGAGATGGCGGGATGTTGGCAGCTCCTTTGCTGAATTAGAATTCCTAGGTTCGGGCCTAGCGCACAATCAGGTTTGACACCCTTGGAAAAACCCTCAGAGTCAAGGCCTGCGGGCTGAGGGCAGACCCGGCAGCCAGCACGTGGGGGCCTGGGGGACATCTTATTTCTTAGGGGAGGGGGGGAGGCCTTTTGGGGCTCATCGCGTTGGTGCTGAGTCTGTCGGCACGCCTGTCTGCTCCCACCCGCACAGACTACCTGATCAACGTGATGGACGCCCTGGGCCTGCAGCCGTCCCGCACCCTCCAGAACATCGTGACGCTCCTGAAGGCCAAACCCGAGGACTACAGACAGGTCAGCAAAGGCCTGCCCCGGCGCCTCGCCTCCACAGTGGCTGCCATGCGGAGTGTGGACTACTGACCCCCGGCCCCCGGCTAGGGTTCCCGGGCCACAGAACTCTCCAGAGTGGATTTGGTCTAAAAATCCGCCTGAGACTGGCAGAATTTGTTTCAAAAAGGCTGGGTTCATTTGTATAATAAAAAAAAGTTGTAAATTAGAGGTGCATTATTTATTAGAGGGGAATTTTCAGATGATTTTTTTTAAATGAGCTGATCTTGCAAATGCCATGAATACATACTGTGAAATGAAAGAAGGCTGTTTCCTTTCCCTCTTTCCTCAGTGAATATTTGGGTGCTTCCCACGGGCAGTGCTGCCTGCGCTGGGGGTGTGGCCGGGAAAGAGGCTGTGGAAGAGGGAGGGAGGGGGAATCGGGAGGTGAACCAAGACAACCCCAGATGTTAGTGCTGGGGGCACAGAGGGCACCAGGGGCTGCAGCCTCAGAACAGCTGGGTGGGCAGCCCTGGGCCCAGAGGATGTGTGGCGCTCCAGGGGTGTTCACACCCCTCGGCCACGTCCACAGCCAGCAGTGGAAGTGAGAAGTAGGCGGTGGGGTCCGAGAGGAAGGGGTGGGTCACAGAGGGTCCTGCAGGCCGTGGTGAAACTGTGGCCTTTCATCTCCCGTTTTTTAAAACCCGTAGGATGTAGGTGCTGTCAGGTTTGGGTTGTTTTTTGTTTGTTTTTTGTCAGTAGCTTCTGTATGTTAAGATTGTACTTGGCTAAAAGGAAACAGAATAATGTAATTTGAGTAACTTAAACAAATCAGAATTAATTTTTCTCAATAACAGGAAGTCAAATGATGGTGGCTTCAGGCTGTGATGTAGTGGCTGGACTGAGTCAGGACCAGGACCAGCCTTCCTGTGACCTTGACCTTCCCCTGCGGGCCTGGTGCCTCATCCTCGCAGGGTGACTCCTGCACCTGCAGGTACGGCATCCAAGCAGCAGTTCGGTCCCCTCCACCGGGAGGCAAAGGCCTTCTCAGAGACCCCCGCCGACTTTCTCCTCAGCCTCATTGGCTCTGCCAGGTCGCCGGACATGCTCCCAACTGCAAGGGAGGCTGGGAACTCAGGAACAGGGCTGGCGTCCACCAGGGTTTCTCAGCCTCAGCTCTACCGACGCCTGGGCGGGACAGCTCTGTCGTGGGCCGTCCTGTGCCCTGTGGGATGTTTAGCAGCATCCCTGGCCTCCACCCACTGGATGCCGGTGGTACTGCCCGAGTCGTGATAACCAGATCACCTCCAGTAGAGAAACCCAGACTTAGACCAGCTGGGATTTCTTGCTGCCTGAACAAGCTGGGAGAAAGGGAAGCAGCTGTTTCTCTCAGGGTCCTTTAATGGAATTGAACGTGCACTGTGTTCCGGGCCTGGGTGAGCTTTACTCGTCTCCCATCCACATCTCACAGCAGCCTTGGATGGGAGAATATGATGCCCATTTCACACACAAAGGAACTGAGGTTTGGAGGGGGTCTAAGGGGCTTGCCCTGAGTCTCTCAGCCACACTGTGGCAGGTCTGGAGCTCAGAGCGAGCCCGGTGACTCTGACGCCTGTGCTCCTGTCAGCCGGGGCGGGAAGCCTGCAGTGCGGCACCGAATCCCAGCTGGGTCAGCCTGCTCGTGCCAGCCCTCCAGAGTGGCAGGCTGCACTTGTGGCTTCTCCACGAGCCCCACCGGGCTGCCAGGGCCATGTCTCTCTGGCTCTGTCATCTAGGGATTCCCACACACTCTGTCCCCACATCTTTGGAACCAGTTTGGCTAGCCCTGAAAGAGCATCAGCTTGCCAACCTGCGCCAAGAAAAATATTCTGGTTTCTCACGTGGGGGATCACACTGTCCCTGGCAGGGATTGAGGCTGGCTTTTGCCTTGAAGTGGGAGCTGGAAACCTGGAAGGTGAAAAGTGCTGTTTTAAAGTGACCTTTTTGCAGTGACCTCTGTGCCAGTGTTGATGAGAGCCACTGGGACAGGCTTCGTCCCAGCTTCGCCACCTCCCAGCTGACCTTGGGAAAGTCCTTCACCTCTCTGGCCTCATTTCCTAATCTGAAAAACGGGTCATATTGGTACCTAACTCACAGGGTTACTTGAAGAGCCATTGAGATACAGTGGGGGCAACAGCACGTAGAAAGTGTTAATTTCATAGTCCTCCAGCATCTTAACCTTCCCTCCCTTTGCAAGTAGAGACAGAATGCCATTTTATGGGTAATTTTGGCCCTGCTAGCCTAATTTTTCAGCTCTAACAGGCTCTGATGGGGCCTCACATTAGAAATAGGACTGCCTTTTTCTCCTCTGGATCTGGAGGGGAGAGGAATGCTTGACCCAGGGCCTGCTCGGAGATGGGGCCATCATCCATCTTCACCTCAGCCCTCAGTACTCCCCAAGAGAGGGAGGGGTGGCAGCCAGTGCGCATGTCAGCCTGGTCCCATCTGACGTCTTCAAGCAGCTCTGGGGTCAGGAACCCCTTCCCACTGCTGCTTCAACATGTCTCTGAACAAAACCTCTCATGGGAGTCTGTAAGGGGCTGCCCACCATAGATACACCCAGTGCTGGCCAGGCAGCATCTCCCATTCTCAGTCACAGTAATCGGTTCAGAACGAGCCTCATTCTCGAGGCTTCTGCTAGGACACTGTGAGGGAAAAGTTTTCTTCCTGCTGTGGTTGCTGAGCTGAGGGAATGGAGTCTGGGGCTGTAGGGGGAAGAGTAGCACATGGAGAGAAACTGTTTGAGAGGGATGTCAACACAGAAGAAAATAAAGCCAGTAGCTGGAGAAACCACGAGAGCTAGGTGAAACGCTGGATACAGCCATGCCTGAAATCCCTAGAGTTTAATTATAAGAACCCAATGACTTCCCTTTTTAGCTTAAGTCAATTCAACTCAAATTAACTTTGTGACCAAAGAGCTGGCAAAAGGAGCTAAATAATAATCATTGCTCTGCCTGCCCCATAGCATCACATGAGATAATAAAAACGAAAGCCCTGGGCTCCTTTGAGGGACTGGTATCTGATGACCACTGTATTCTTATGGCAGCAAGAGGATGAAGTTGGAGTCTCACCTTTGGCACTTACTGAAGTATCAATCTATTCTAGTACCTTACTTTAACCTCTCTGAGCATCTATTTATTTATTTGTAAAAAGGAATGATCATATTTCTCAGTGGTTATGAGAATTCAATGAAATAAGACTTATAAAGTACTTGGCCTGGTGCCTGGTGTGTGGTAAGGGTTTGATACAATGTAGCCATTGTTTAAAAACAACAAATGATAATAGTGTAGTGACAACAACTGCCACTGCTAATAATAAAAGTCCCAGTCATCATAGTAAGTGTGGTAACAACCAAGAATTGTGACTCCGCAGACATGGAAAACAAACTTATGGTTACCAGGGGAGAAGGAGGGGTGTAGAGGGATAAAACGGGAGTTTGGGATGTGCAGATAGCAACTACCATATATAAAACAGATAAACAGCAAGGTCCTACTGTATAGCACAGGGAAAGATATTCAACACTTTGTAATAGCCTATAATGAAAAAGAATATGAAAAGGAATATATATATATTCACAATGCTGTATACCAGAAATTAACACAACACTGTAAACCAGCTATACTTCAATAAAAAAAAGAAAAGAATCATGACTCCAGCCTGTAGACTTGCTGGGCCCTGAGCTGGGAAACCCGGCTGCCCCTCGGCCCTCCCCACTCAACCCCCAGCAATGCTGCCTTTGGCTGGAGCGGCACCACGCCTGTGGCCCCTCCTTCCTGCACAGGTGCCATCGTGGGCATTTATGGGAGAACAGCTTGTTTGCCTTCCAGGCTGAGAACCCAGGTGTTCTAGGCCAGCTGGGCTGGGCCCACGGACACCCAGGCTCTGAAGTAGATGTTGAGCTTGACAATCCCCTTCCTGCAGGAGGCAGCAGGAGGGGCTGGTGCCCTCTTCCCGAGACAGACAGACAGACAGACAGACACACACACACACACACACACACACACACACACACGAAAGGCAGCAAGGCACACATCCCCATCCCCCACCCACCCTCCTTCACCTCCGGGGCTGGCAGGTGACAGTAGGTCAACTGTCTGCAGCTGCCAGATCTCATTCTTCTTTGATAACGGCTCCCTAATCTTGGAGAAGCCCTTGGGGTTGCCACATTTAGCAATGAGAAATAGAGGGAGATCAGTTAAATATGAATTTCAGAAAAACAGTGAATGATTTGTTAGTATACTATGCTGTGGGAGCCAGCCGACAACGAGCAGGTCCAGAAACCTGTGCTGCAGGACTGAGAAAAGAAAGACGACACTAAAAGGTGGGGTTGAGAGGGTCGCACTCTAAGTCTGCAAGACGCAAGACCAAGAATGGACAACGAGTTTATTTTCAGCAGTTAATTTATACAATTTCAACCAGCTAGAGTGTGCATTCCTTCACGTAGGCAAAGGCATTGTCTTCTAAACTTAAGACCACCTGATAGCGTGTAGTAAAATCATTAACTTGTGTATTGTTCCCATAAACCACCATATGCTTAGATCAGTAACTTGTATGCTGATTATATCTTCTTGCTCAAAGGCCATTAGTGTCTCATTAGCATAGAACCATAAAACCTGAGGTTTTAAGATTCCTTGACGCAAACATCTCAAAGGGGTGGCGGGACAGAGATTGTCTTTGATAGATCAACCTCAAAGCCTGACGCTAGCACTCAAGATTTATTATCCTGTTTTGTGCCGGCCGTCCTCAGGTCGTGAGTGGCTCCCCACACTATGCCCCTCAACATTACATGGATATAGTTCTACTGAAAAATTAATGTGTTTGTCTGAAGTTCCAATTTAACTTGGCAGCCTGTATTTTATCTGGCACCCCTAGGAGCTGTGTTCCCACCACCCTCAGATGATGTGATTCTGTTGGGGGCTAACTGGCCTCAGGAATGGGCGGGGTCTGGCCAATCCCAGCAGCCTACCAGCTGGGCACACTGATTGGTTCTGAGACAGGCATGTGAGCCAACCAGTGACCAATGAGAGAGCAGCCTGGGAACTTGCTAAGACAACTTGAAAATAGTTGCTCTCTCCTAGCTGGGTTTGCTAAGCTAGAGGTGTGTTTGGTGTTGCAAATGGCCTTTTGCTACTGCCATGTGAGGAAAGCCTGCCTGGGAAGGCAGAGAGAGAGGAGATATCGTTCGAGTTGCTGGAGATGCTTTTGCTTAAGCCAGTCTGAGTGTTTCTCCCCGCTGCCCCATACCTCCCTTTTTCTCTGTTCTTACAACCCAAAGAAGTAAGTTGGATGACACTGAAATAGTCATCAGGCCACTGCTTCAGGGACAACTTGAAAGAAACTTTAAAAATCACCCGCTTGGGCCTTTCCTCGGCCAGGCTGCTGCTCTCAAGTTAGCACGGATGCCCTTCCGCCCTGAGAGAGGCATCCAGGCGCTCCGGCTGCCCAGGCGGACAAAGAACAAAGCTTGACTCTGTTGTTTTCTACTTTTACTTTCCAGAACAGAACATGGGCCACCTGGCAGGGCCCCCGATGCCTGATGCTCCTCCTGCTCTCCACAAACACCGCCCCCACTAAACCCTTTCACCCAGTCAGCCCAGGCCAGGAAGGGAAAGAATGCTGATTCTGGGGACAGAGAGCACAGCATGCCCGCCTGGGGCAGACGGTGACTGTCACTGGGAGGGAAGTGGCCCGCCTCAGGAGAGGAGGCTCGGGGTCTGGAAACCTGGCTGAGGGCATCCCAGGCCAAGGATCAGGTCAGGCTGGGGCTGTGCGCAGAACACAGCTCCCACACCTGAACCAGCACCATGACCCATGGAGGACTGGGACTGGCCAGGGCTGCTAGCCTCTCCGGAGAGGGACAGACTCTGGCCTTGGACACCTATCCTCCTGGCCCTGTGGAGAGGGCATCATAAACAGGGCCTTGGGCAATGGTCTCAGCTGCTCAGGGCTGAACTCCTGGGCTTCCCGGGATGGGCAGGGGCAGAGTCTAGACGGCATCACCCTCGGTGTCGGACTCGATGACATCCAATGGCTGCAGACGCAGGGAGTCGTAGTTGGGGGGCGGGGTGCCCGGGATGGGCGGGAGCTGCTCATCAGGATAAGGCCCAGCACTGGGGCCGGGGGTGACCACGTCAGGCTGGAAGCTGAAGTTGGTGTGGGCCTCCACCAGCTCGGCCACGGTGGGCGGCGGGCCGGCGTAGCGAGCCTGGGCCCGCCGCTGTCGCAGGCTCTTGGCAAGGGCCACCAGCTTGATGACGGTGATCCACACGAAGTCGATGATGATCTCCCCGAACTCAATGAGGCACAGTACCGAGCCCCCCATCCAGAAGCCAAACTGGCCGCCCAGGTTTGAGAGCAGCCAGACGATCTATGGGAAGCAGGGGACTGAGGGCCTGGCAGGGGTGGGGGTCAGGCCACCAACTGCTGCCTCAAGCCCAGCCTCGTGGCTTTCTATGAGGGGGGGTGGTTGGCCAGGCAGGGGGAAGGGGTACCGGTCTCAGCCCAGGGAAATAATTTGGGACTGCTTACGGGACCTTCCCAATTCCTCTATTGGGCTTGGACCCACCCCACCCTCGGGGTGCAGGGTGGAGGGGCGGCAGGCAGGCCCCCACACTCACATTATTGGCTGCTGACTCCTCAATGGTGCGATAGTTGAATTCTT